TTTGCTCATGTTTGAAACAAATTTATAATTGCTGATCCTTCAAGAATGTGAATTGAGATAACAAAATGATCATCTCTAATCTCCACTCCTATTCCTTCCTCTCCTTATCTATATATAGATGCATACACACCTAGATGTATATACACAGGATGGATCACTTTTGCCCTATAAGGTAGGGAGTCTGCCATGTTTCAAAGTCTGGCTGGTCATGGTAGCTCCTCCCTATAATCCCAGCTACTTGGAAAGCTGGAACAGGAAGGTCACTTGAAGCCAGGAGTTTGAAGCCTGCCTGGGTAACATAGTGAGACCTATCTCTAGAACATTTTTTTAGAAATTAATTGGGCATTGTGGTTCACTCCTGCGGTCCCAGCTACTTGGGAGGTTGGGGCAGGAGGATGGTTTGAGTCCAGGAGTTAAAGGCTGTAGTGAACTATGACTGTAACACTGCACGGTAGCCTAGGAGACAGAGTCAGATTCCATCTCTAAAAAGTAAAAACACCTGGAGCCTGATACTGTATACCAAGGATCTGCAAACTATAGACCATGGGCTAAAATCTGGCCCGTAACCTGTTTTTATATGTCTGGCAGTCTAGAATGGCTTTTATATTTTAATTGGCTAAAAAAATGTGAAAAGAATAATAATATCTTGTTATGTGAAAATGACATGAAATTTCAATTTTAGTGTTTATAACTTTTTATTGGAAAACAGCCATTTTCTCACTCTTTCTGTGTGTGTGTGTGTGTGTGTGTGTGTGTGTGTGTGTGTGTGTGTAGTCTGGCTGCTTTTGAACTCTAATGGTAGACTTGAGTAGTTGAGACAGAGATGATATGTTGCACTTTTGCCACTTCATACTCTTCTCAGTTTACTACAAATCCAAGTGATGCCAGTTATACCTGGACAGTGTTTCTCATGCCCCATATTGTCACACTGCAACATTTTATTTATATGTTATCTTATTACCAGTGTATATTTACCCTGTCAGAACAGAGAAGTGAACTTCAAATGTGATTATAAAGCACAGTGGAGTGGAGATTTTTATTGTAGGAATTACAAAGCAAAGTACTAAACATTGTAGGTAAGCTAATAATATACATCCACCTCACTGGACTATAATCGCTTATCACAACTGTCACATGTTCTCAAACTGACAGGAAAGCAACTGTCAGAAAAATTATAAGTTTTAAAAATGGAATATTAGATCCTAGCAGAATTTTTTCAAAAAACTGAGTGAAAGTGAGGCTTCAAAGGTAAGTTTCTAGCCCAGAGCAGTGCTTCATGCCCATAGCCCCATCACTTAGGCTAAGGCAGGAGGATCACTTCAGCCTGGGAGACTGAGTGATGATCATGTCACTGCGCGTCAGGCTGGGTGACAGAATGAGACCCTGCGCTAATAATTTTTTTTTAAAGTTAAGTTTCTGAGGGGTTCTTTTCTTTCTTTCCTTTCTTTTCCTTTCCCTTTTCTTTTCCTATTCTTTTTCTTTTTCTTTTCATCCTGTCCTGTCCTGTCCTGTCCTGTCTGTCCATGTCTTGCTCTGTCGCCCAGTCTGGAGTACAGTGGTGGAATCTTGGTTTACTGCAGCCTCAGCTCACTCACTCCCTGGGCTCAGATGATCCTTCCTCCCAACTCAGCCTCCTGAGTAGCTGGGACTATAGGCTCACACCACTATGCCCAGGCATGAGTAGTACTTTTATTAACCAAGTAAGGAAAGTCATTTACCAGTGGTGATCTAGTTAAAACATGTTTTGATTTTAGCAGCCAGAGAAATCTGTCCAGTGAAATAAACTTGTTTAAAACTATTAACCTTTCAGCGAGAACAGTTGCTCTGAGTTGAGGATATTGAGAGTATGTTGCTCCAGGGAGAGATTGAAACTGCCCCCAACCTGCTAACACACACTGAATGACTCTGGAGGTTAACTTTTGCAGCAGACTTGACAATGTTTCTTAGTCTGTTCCACCTAAAATTACAAAAATGTTTATATGTAGAATTTATATTGCAGTAAAGTCATTTCAGTGACAACATCGTATGAATTATAAGTAATAAAAAGCCAACTGCTTTACACATTTTGTGTTCTGTCAGAAATTAAAACACAAAGGGAGACCTTCATTCCTAAATAGGATTGTAGCAGATACATTTCCAAGCTCAAATTAGAGTTGCAGAAAGTTTTAGACCTCATTGCAAGCACAAAGGAAATTTCTGTATTTCAAAATTTGAACTGAAAGTGATTAATTTGCAATGTAATGACACACTAAAAGATAACACCAATATAATGGAATTGCACATGTCTTTCTAAATGTGCTCAATTGAAATAATATACTTGTCAGTTAGTGTTTGATGTCAGCATTTACTAGTGCCTGTGCATGTTTTTACATTTTCTTTTTTTTTTTGGAGATGGAGTCTTGCTCTGTCATCCAGGCTGGAGTGCAGTGGCGCCATCTCAGCTCATTGCAACCTCTGCTTCCCAGGTTCAAGTAATTATCTTGCCTCAGCCTCCCAAGTAGCAGGGATTACATACAGGTGCCTGCCTCCGCACGTGGGTAATTTTTGTATTTTTAGTAGTGACGGGGTTTCACCATGTTGGCCAGGCTGAAGTCAAACTCCTGACCTCAAGTGATCCACCCACCTTGGCTTCCCAAAGCACTGGGATTACAGGCATGAGCCACCATGCCCCGCCTACATTTTCTTTTTTCTTTTCTCTCTTTCTTTCTTTCTTTTTTTTTTGAGGCGGGGACTTGCTGTGTCACCCAGGTTGGAAGTGCAGTGGTGCAGTTGATAGCTTACTGCAATCTCGACCTCCTGAGCTCAGGTGATCCTCCACCTCAATTTTTTTTTTTTTTTGTAGAGACAGGGTTTCACTATGTTGCCCAGGCTGGTCTTGAACTCCTGGGCTCAAGCAATCCTCTCACCTTGGCCTCCCAAAGTGTTGGAATTATAGGCATGAGTCATGGCACCTGGCTGTTTTTACATTTTCAAGGACTAAATATGGAAAATCTCATTACAGATTACATTATCAGAAAAACATTTGCAATACTTTTTAATGATATGAACCTCTAAATTTGAAATTAATTGAGCAAAATTATTCCCAGTGAAAGAATTCCATTGGTCTCATTAGTAGACGTATATTTTGGAAATTTGTTTCCTCTCTTTTTATAGAAGTATCTAGCATACTATTCTGAATTTTGCCTCCTGCCCACAAAGCCAAAAGTGTTTACTATCTAGTTCTTTACAAAAATTTTGCTGGCTTCTGAAATACACTCACATAAAGAATAGATTTCCCAAATAAGGAATCCTCCAGTAAAAATAATTAAGATGTATATGGTGCAATAGTATAAACTTAGGATAAGTAAAAATAACACGCTATACAACAGACTTATAGAACGATTTGTGTATAAATTGATTTTAGATAAATTTATGATTAGTCTAAATGCGCACTAAAATGACCTACTTCGTCTTGGCGCAATGGCTCACACCTGTAATCCCAGCACTTATGACTCAGCAGTTCGAGACCAGCCTGGCCAACATGGCGAAAAGTTAGCCAGGTGTGGTGGTGTGCGCCTGTATTTCCAGCTGCTCGGGAGGCTGAGGCAGGAGAATCTCTTGAATCTGGGAAGCGGAGGTTTCAGTGAACTGAGATGGTGCCACTGCACTCCAGCCTGGGAGACAGAGTGAGACTTCATCTCAAAAAAATAAATAAATAAAATAAAAAAATAAAATTACTTACTTTAAAACTGATAGTAAGAAAAAACAATCATGCTTTCCTGTGTTTTTACATGAGCTCTCTGGCAAGGGAAGTACTTGTTATAAATGAGCATTGCAATTAAAAAATTTTCATTTGAAACTGGAGCTTAATTTTTCAGATGATGTCATTCAACCAGTTTGTTTTTGGTGTCTTTTCCTAGAAGTTATTTATTCTTGAGTGGATATTCTTTTTATACTTTGCCTCATTTAGAGGGCATTCAGGGTGGCTGAGTGGGACTAGATAGTATTAAGTGTTCGATTCTAGGGTCCTCTAAAGAGTTTAAACAACATTTTGTGGGAATTTGTAATAAAATAAAATGCAGATGTATTCATCATTGCCTGGGGGAACTTAGAAGATAAGGTATTGAAGCTGGACCTTGAAGGATGGCTAAGATTTAGGTTTTCGGGGTATGCGTTTGGGAGACCAATCTGTGTGGAGTGAACTTGAAGAAAGAGGAAGCTGTCAATGGTAGTGTGATGGGAGATGGAGCTGGATGGGTGATTTGGGGCTTGAATATTCACCTAAGAGAAATGGACTTTATTGACAGATAATTCTGAGATAGGTATAGTGTCTGACACTCAGAGGTGCTAAACTAATATTTATTGGGTAAATAAATAGGGAGCTTTTTGAGGAAATTAAGCAGGAGAAACAAGGGTAAACACTTAATTACAGGGCATTGTCCCATGTTGATCATCACAACAGCAAGATTTGCTAAATATTAGCCAAGACCCTATTAATGTTTACCTGACATCTATTCCTTCCTAATTCCTACTGCTACCACTTCAACCAGTGCCTTGTAATATTGTAATATTCCTTCTCCCTATTACTTCCAGTCTTTCATCCTCTGAATTATTGAAATGCCTGATTTTCTGATTAGTATGAGTGCTTTGCACATAGGTTTTCACACATTTTTTTCTAATAGGTGAATGAAAGTCGTCACTTAGTGCCTTTTGCAACAGACTGATAGCATGTCAATGAGCCTTCCAAAATCCTGTTACTCAAAAATAGTAATAGAATAATTAGCCTCTTGATTGAGTCTTCCATCTCACCCCATATTAAAGAAATAGTGGCTGGCATTCTCCTCATTTGGATTCCTGAAACTGGATTCTGTTTTTAAATTTCCTTGGAGGAGATTTTCTTATAATACTCATTATGTGTTTGCAGTCTTAGGCTAGTGTAATAGTACAATCTAATGACCTGCTTTGAGAGTTTTAACTCATCCTGGGTAAGTTATTAAATAACTTTTATGTTTTTTTCTTAGATATCTTAATGCAATTCAGACAATGTGTCCACACATTCTTCGCTATTTGACTACAGCAGTCATAACAAACAAGGATGTTCGGAAACGTCGGCAGGTTCTAAAAGACCTAGTTAAAGTTATTCAGCAGGTAAAACTGAAATATATGTTGTTGTTTTTAAAAGTACTTAAGCTTTAGGTTTAACCTCTTTTTCTAAAGACTTAGTTCTTAAGGTAAAAATGCTTTTAAAAATAGGTAAGGAATACATGAAGTTTAGAAAAGAGAAGAGCCTCAAACGCGCTTTTGTTTTCCTTAAGTCCAAGATACACAAGTTGGATGTGGTAGGAATGATTATTACTGTCTGCTAGATGAACACTTAATATACATTATGTATATGTGTTTCTCTTATTGCAAAGAGTGAAGAAAATCTGGAACCTGGAATTGGAGGGTCATTACCTGTATAATTCTAGATGGGTGAACTTTATATACAATACAGTTTCAGTAGACCCCAAATTGGGGAAAAGGTTCAGGCAGCCATGCTGATTGATATTTAGTGAGCTTGTCAGCAAAACCCATAGATTAGAAAAATAACTTAAATATTTATTTAAGAGTGAATTAAATACAAAGAAGTTATTGTCATTCAGTAGGGAATGAATATCCTTATGCTTGGGAAGTTTATTACTGTTTATTGACTAAGGGAGACTTGGTAGTAGGGGAATTTGAAAGCTTTCAGAATGTTTCTAGGATGAGACTTTAGAGAACTTGATTTGAAAGACATTATAAGCTTAAGGTGTGGTCTGGAATCAGGATAGGAACAATTGCTTCGAGAAGATGCTAGGTAATTTGGCTAGAAATTAATGGTAAGGAAGGAGAAAACAAGAAGATTGGGATATTTTGGGGCAATCTGCTAAACGCTGTTGAATCAGACTTACCTTGACCATTGACTTATTTTTACAGGAGTCTTACACATATAAAGACCCAATTACAGAATTTGTTGAATGTTTATATGTTAACTTTGACTTCGATGGGGCTCAGAAAAAGCTGAGGGAATGTGAATCAGTAAGTATGAATTTTTACTTATAAACTAACACTGTTCTTAAATTTTTGGATATTGTAATCTTGCACTGTCTTCCTTAAAATAATGAAGTAATTATAACAAATATGTTTATTAATCTTAAAAAGGCCTAAATGGCTCATGTTTATTAACCTTAAAATGACTTAAATGGCTTATGTTTATTAATCTTAAAATGGGAATGTGCTAAAGTGATGACTTTTTAAATGTTGTTGCCATGTGTATCTCTTTTGTGAGGGGTGTTTGTTAAAACATTGGGGGTAAATTCACAGATATATCCATAATTTCATGTCTTATCTCGAATGAATAAATATTTTTAATATTTCATATGTACAGGCAAGGTCACTTTGAATTGCAGGTAACAACTGTGTTTTTAATTTTGATTCATAGGTGGGCTTATCTTTAGAATATTTCCTATGGTTGTATTTAACATTTGTGATAAACCAGGCAATTCATTGTACTTATGAATTTTATAACGGCAGTGCCTCTTGTTGTTTAGTAGAAATTAAAGTACCTTTAGAACAACTGTGGAAGAGTTAGATTATAGTTGTTTTGATAATTAGTTACAAGTTTTAAGAAATCAAACTAAGAATTCTAACTGCTAAATGTAGTCGCATTTACCAGATTCACAAGTTACTAGTCATCAGTTTCATCCTTGGAACTAGAATTTTGGCACAAAATGGGCAATTTGTTGACAAAGATCTTATTTCTCTAAGGAAAAAAATGATCATGCAAATATCCATTCACTGATGATTTTCTTTCTTTTTTATTTTTTTTGAGATGGAGTCTCGCTCTGTCACCCAGGCTGGAGTGCAGTGGCGCGATCTCGGCTCACTGCAAGCTCCGCCTCCCAGGTTCACGACATTCTCCTGCCTCAGCCTCCCAAGTAGCTGGGACTACAGGCGCCCGCCACCGCGCCCGGCTAATTTTTTGCATTTTTAATAGAGACGGGGTTTCACCATGTTAGCCAGGATCGTCTCGATCTCCTGATCTCGTGATTCTCCCGCCTGGGCCTCCCAAAGTGCTGGGATTACAGGCGTCAGCCACCATGCCCGGCCTCCCTGATGATTTTCAAACATTAGATGGAATAGAAAATTAGAATCCAATATGTTAATATGTTATTATCCATATATGTTAATTAGTGTTTTTTTGTAGTCATATGTTGCATTATTAAGGTAAATATTGGCGTATATTTATTATGCTAAGTGTTTAGGTTTTGCTGTTAAGAGACCTAGAGGGCACTTGGTTGCTGTTTTTGAAATTAAAATATTTTTAATTACACCATCTGTGGAATAGTAGCCACCTTTTGCATTCTTTTCCTTTCTAATTTCTAAGTCTACTTAATATTACAGAAATACTCAGGGCTTTAGTCCATTTATAACTATTTTAAATAGTTGGAAGAGATATATTATCTGCAGAGCATTTATGTAGAATAATGGATAGTACCAAACTTTGTTGTCTGAAGGCTACTTTATTACTTAAAGTTATTAGAAACATTGCAGTTTTTAGGTCTTTATCTTGTAGTAGTCTTTTACTACTTATTTAAATCATTAAAGATTTGAACACAGTATTCTAGAAAGTGCTGTGGTATAAAACTCATGATATTAGAATGGAAAAATAAAACAGACAAAGTATTTGATTCACATTTCATCATTAATTTTTGTTGTATTTGTACATATAGGTGCTTGTGAATGACTTCTTCTTGGTGGCTTGTCTTGAGGATTTCATTGAAAATGCCCGTCTCTTCATATTTGAGACTTTCTGTCGCATTCACCAGTGTATCAGCATTAAGTAAGAACACTGATTTGATTTGGATTTTCTACTTTAAAATTCCTGAAAATTTCCATTTACTGTGAATTTACACTTAATAGAATTCCAGTTAATTGGATTTTTGTTTCCCTTTGCTTCCGGAAGAACAATGAAACAATTTGATGAAATTACTTAAAAGCCTAACTTTTGCTACAGGCTCAAATAGTTTTAGCTTGAGTGGCGTAATTTTTCAAAATACTGAGTTGAAGACAATATATGATTGTCAGTTACCTTATTGAAGAGTAAATACTGTTGTCCCTTTACATAAGGAGAAAAGTGAAGTAAACATTTCTAAAATGGTTTTCAGCAGCAGTACAAAGAAGGAGATACCCACTGAATTGGAAATTCTGTTGAAAGACCACTACATTTAGTAATCCTTTCTGTTTAGTTTGTATGATTTAATTACATATTTGACTTCTCCTATAGTAAACTCCTATGACATCTTAAAATGTTGAAAGATGGAAAAACTTATGGTGAATTTTAGTTGTAATTTCCTCTTTTGTGAGAAAATTTTTGGGTAAAAATTGTGAAATGTACATAACCTATTAGAAATAAGTTGTACACATGAGAGTTTGAAAAATGACTAGTACCCTTTGGGCACAGAGGAAGTCAAACATAAATGTTTAAAAACCTACTACTTTAGTGTTTGCTTCTGAGGAATTGTCCATAAAACAAATTCTTTTTCTTTAATGCCATTTGTTTTTGCTTAGCCGAACTTGTTTTGCTTAATTTTAGTGGGCTGTCCATTGAAGTGGTTGTCCAGAGTTAGAAGTATAGTACAGTCATGGGATTTTTTCCTATGGGAATTGAATCCTTGCCTTCACAGTTTTATTAGCACTTTACTATAGCTTGCAGACAGGATTTTTTAAACCTGATTCTCTTACAAATTACATGAAAATTCCTAATAATGTAATTGGTTGTGAAATAAAGAGGTAGGTATATCATATGTGGGGCTCCGGTAGACAGTAGTAACCGAATTCTTGCATTGTTCTTTGTTTTTAAGGTTTGTAAGTAGGGCTTGTGAAAGAGGGATGTTAGTATTTTGGTTTCTTTTATAGAATTTTCTCCATTTCTTGTTAGAATATGGTCATTTGGGTGTTTTTTGGTCCAGGACTGATGTAACTACTACCCCTGTTGTGGGCCTTTTGAAAGCTGACCCTTTTTTTTGCATCTTTAGCACCTAGCATACTAACTTTGTAGCACCTAATATGCTTTGTACAGTATAGTGTGAGTATACAATATAAGTATTTGTTAAGTAAATTTCTTCTGTTCTTTGTATTAGTGAACTTGGCATTTTTGTCAGTGATAATGCTTGTCTGCTTTGATGTTTGCTTCCAAGGTACTATCAATAAGATTTGTTCTAGCTCTTTTCCTTTAACTCTGCAACCATAGATTCATTATTTTCTTTCTTGGGATTTGGTTTGTTATATTTTAACAGGAACATAGATTAAGTATGTGTCCTCCTTACTGAAGAGAGATGTGCAGCTCAAAGAAGTTAATAGAGTGGGCATGTTTCTATATACCTTTATGTGACATTACCTAAGAATTTTTCAAACTTTTCTTCATATAGATTTTTATTATTTTCTTAATCTCTGTAGTTTTATGCTAGACAAAAATCTACAAAGCATTTTCAAACTAAAATCCTAGTGGTTTTCCAGAGTCCAAAAATATTTTTTTTTTCTAGTAGTAGCATTTTCTTTCACTTCAGTTTTTTTTTTGTCTATAATGTGTAACGTTAATGAGATAAGTGCACCTATGGGTCGCTGTTTATTAATGTGTGTGTTTGTGTTTTCTTTTCTTTTTTTTTTTTGGATGTATTTATATCTTGATGTTGTGTTGTAATCAGTGGTTTATTGTATCTGCTTACTTTGCAATCATCCTTGTTCCTTTCCTTCCTTTGTTGGCATGTTGTGAGTTCTCGTGGCTGTGTTCCTCCCAAGTAGCTCTTGTTATGTTGACAGGCTATGTGCCACCAGTTTTGTATTGTTATGTTTTCTTTTTTAGTGTATGTGTGTTGTGTGTTTGTTCTTCTCTTGTTTCTAGGCTTTGTGTTTGAACTCTCCTGGACCGCATTATGTTATTTGTTCTCTGCCTTGTTCTCTGTAGTGTTGTGCTGGGTTATAGTGTGAGCTCTTTTGTTTTCTGTTTTCATTAACTTATGTGGTATTTTCGTATGTTGATAATGTCCGAATGGGACTATAATCTTTCTCTTCTAACTAATTTTCAGGGTGTATATTTTATTTTCAGTGTATTTTTTGTCCTGTTGTGTGTATTGGATAATATTTTTTGTTTTATATCTGAAAATGTCTTGTTTGTATGTGTTCAGTATGGTATACTTCAAAGGTGGCTCACATTTAAGAGCTTGAAGCATGCTTTCAAATCTCTATAGTGTGTGTGACAGTGGGACTTATTTTCAAATGCAGTATCAGTATATATGAATATATGTATTTATTATTTATTTATTTTTATTTTTGAGATGGAGTGTCGCTCTGAATATATATATTAGTATAGTATATAAGCAGATTAAAAGCAGAACCCATTCACCGCCTCTATCTTACAGGCTCTTGTTCAGCTTCTCTCCTGATACTAAGACATCCTGTTGGAACACAATTTTACAGAAACACTGACTCAGGAACAAGCTGCATTGTTTTGAGCAGGAAAAATGGAAGGCTCAAGGGACATTAAACTAGTCTGATAGAGCTACACTAAAGGTGTCTGACATTCAGTTGTACTGTACCTTCCACTGTAAATTCTTTTATTTATTTGTGAACAACTTAAGTATGTTTTAGAAGATGTCAGGTTTAGATTAAATTGTCATTTAGTGATCAGTGTTGAGCCGAGGAGGATAAAGTTTGAAAACCCTAAGTCAGTTTAACTCTGGTGTTTGCAGAATTCTTTGTAGAGGTTTGTTGTTATAATACTCCTTGTAGCCACCCTAAAACCTTTGAATCAGATTTGATTTGAGTAGGTGTGCTGATGGATTTGAGCAGGGCTGGCTGTGCTGTATCTTGGAGGGTGGTTATTACGAAGCACAGCACGAATCGCAAAACCAGGCTGCATTAGGTCCGACCAATTTTTTAGGCATGTTGATACAGCCTTGCTAAAAGTAATGGAGTAAGAAAAATTCAATAATCATACCTTTTTGTATGAATGAATAAGAAGATAAGCTCTCGGTTAAAGGAGGCTTAATGGGGTTAGAGAAGACAGTGGCTGGACAAAGAAAAATTACCGTCAAGATGTGAACAGGCAGCCTACAGAATGGAGAAAATTTGTACAAATCTACCCATCGGATGAGAGCTAATATCCAGAGATCTGCAAATGAACTTTAAACATATACATAGAAAAATCAAACAACCCCACAAAAAATGGAAGAAAGAATGAACAACGACTTTCAAAAAAGGACATATGCAGCCAACAGACACATGAAAAATGCTCATGATCCACGGCCATTCAAGAGAGACAATGCAAATCAGAACCACAAGAGGAATATTCATGTGCATACCGCAGTATAGGGAAGGTGAGCTTAGAAAAAGTCGAGAAACAACGAGGTGGCGTGTAGAGAGATGTGGAGAAATAGGAACACTTTTACACTGTTGGTGGAACTGTTAACTAGTTCAACCATTATGGAGGACAGTGTGGTGATACCAGAAATACCATTTGACCCAGCCATCCCATTACTGGGCATATCCCCAAGGATTATAAATCGTGCTGCTATAAAGACACATGCACACGTATGCTTATTGTGGCACTGTTTACAATAGCAAAGACTTGGAATCAACCCAAATGTCCATCAATGATAGACTGGATTAAGAAAATGTGGCACATATACACCGTGGAATACTATGCAGCCATAAAAAAAGGATGATTTCATGTCCTTTGTAGGGACGTGGATTAATCTAGAAACCATTGTTCTGAGCAAACTGTCACAAGGACAGAAAACGAAACACCACATGTTCTCACTCACAGGTGGGAATTGAACAATGAGAACACTTGGACACAGGGTGGGGAACATCACACACCGGGGCCTGTCGTGAGGTTGGGGGAGGAGGGAGGGATAGCATTAGGAGATACACCTAATGTAAACGACAAGTTAACAGGTGCAGCACACCAACATGGCACATGTATACATATATAACAGACCTGCACGTTGTACACATGTACCTTAGAACTTAAAGTATAATTTAAAAAAAAAAAGAGAAGAAAGACAGTGGCTGGAAATAATAAGTATTTATGTTGGGATTTTATAAATACAGCAAACATTTTAATTTGGACTTCAAGGATTTGTAATCCATGATAATGACCAACAGAGCTAAAAACTACCTTTAAACAATATACAGGAAAAAAAAATACTTTTAATCTAGAGGTTTTAAACCTAGTTGTACATTGAAATCATCTGGAGAAGTAAAACAACAATAATTTAAGCTTAAAAATAATAGATTTCCTGCTTTTATCCCAGACCTTCTGAATCGAAATCTCTGCGATGTAGGCATTGAGAATCTGGGATTAAAGCTTTTCAGGTGATTATTTTGCAGTCAGCCTTGGGGGAATCATTGCTGTAAATGAGTGATTTAATGGTACTGACAGCATATTAGAATCAAATGGGAAACTGTAAAAAGTAATAAACAGAAATACTAGATGACTGAGCCTAACCATTAAAATCATTTTCTGGAGGCAGACCCCAGAGACTGTGTTTTGAAAAAGGTCCTCTAAGTGACTTTGATGCAAGATCTGGCTTAAAAAAAAAAGATTAAACTGTTTATTTCGAGATGATTATGTATCAGTTGTATGAAATGATAAAAAGACCCCCTGTGTCCTTTGCTCAGTTTCTCCCATTAGTAACATCTTGCAAAACCACAGTAAAATATAGCAGCCAAGATATTGATGTTGATACATTCAAAATATAGAATATTTCTATCACAAGGATCCTTCAAGCCGCTCTTTTATAGTGGTACCCCCTTCCCTGCCACCCTCTCCTTAATTTC